AAAACATTCGATAAAGAATTATAATTAATGTCACAGTTCTGACAATACATATTATAATTACATGCCATTATTAAAGATGGAGTTCTACGAAGAAGATTTGATTTTGGAGTAGGATAAGTGAAGGTGTCTAAATGCCTGGTAGAATACATTGGTATAGTAAATGACAGTTTTTCAAGGTTATCATTGATAGCATGAGTTGTTGACCCTGTTGTTGACTTTTGATTTTATCGGGTCTGGATATCTAATCTTCAGTTCTTGTTTCGATTATTATTGATTTGCTGTCCTTGATTCTTGAATTTGGAAAATCAAATCTTGATTTTCTCTTTTTCTCTTCTCTATTTTTGAAGTTCACTGGTGATTTTTGGTTCTGCATGAAAGAGCCTTCACACTCCTACAACCGACAGCACCTGCATACACTGAGGGGTATTCCATACCCTCCCAGACCCTCCGGTTCAACATACCTCACCAAAAGGTTTAGTACCCCTACCACTTACAGTATAATGTTTTAAAAGGGTCCTAGGGGTTGAATGTTTTGAGAGTGAAAGTATCACCGGGGATTCTGTGGGGTATGGGAACCCCTCCAGGACAATACTCCTCAAGAAGATAACAGAGCAACTCTTCAGTTATCTACAACTGCTAACATCTTCGTACACTCCATACCCTCCAAACCCCCCGTTTCTACATGCCTCACAAATGTTTAGTACTCTTACAGCATAATTATTCGAATGGTGTGGGGGGGGGGGGAAGAAATTCATTGTAGAGAATAGGTAATTCTGTATTTCTGATTTCTTTCCTTCTTGAATATCGATCTCAGAACTTCTCTAAAGCTTCCTTTTCAGTCCTTAGTTCTGGAATTGCATGGCTTACCCTTGATTATTGATTCCTAATGCTTTTTCTTTCTGATACCTCAGCTCCTCGGTTATTTGTTCTTCGGTCTTTGTTTCCGAATGTCCAATTCCATATTCGAGCTTCCCGAGCTCTATTTACTAGTACTATTTATTTCTGAACATTGGATCTCAGCTGACTACCCTTGGTCCATACTGGTTTTTGCCACTTTATTTATGCCTACGGATAGTGATGCCGCCGAGACCAATGTTAAGTCTCGTCTCATCTCGTCTCGAAGTTTTTTTTTTAGAAATTATGTGTACTGTTTTTTTTTTAATTTAATCAAGAGTAATCCATTGAAGTAGCACGAATTCCAATTGTTTACATAAACCGTCCCTCACCTTACTTATTAAGGACTTAATTACCATAGGTCTTATACAACTGTAGTTTTTCTTAAATCCAGAAAGCCTTCCACAGCTTTATTTTATTTGCTTACTCAAATAACGGAAATTGTCTATGCGGGAAAAACAAGATTTGGTTATAATTTTACATTATAGTGAATAGATGATTATAGTTGCAAGAGACAAGATGATATTCTTGCTTTGTCAACTCCTGTCTTGATCCTTAGTTCCCGCCGACACGGTGCAGCGGCGCCACTTGCTAACTCAAATTGTTTGTTTACCGCCCGCCAAGATACAGACTTTATTTACAAAAAATGTGATTTCATTTTGTTGGGGTAATGTTTAGAAGAAACTGTCGGTTTACTTTTACCATAAATCGTCTTGATGGAGAGTAACAAAATAAAACAGATTAGCGTAATAATCGGTGCAAAACATCTAATCTTTAAACCTTTGATTATAAAATACACTATATTCAAAGCTTTAAACAATCTGTATTCAGTTGCTATAAAATTAAAAAAAAAATAGTCCGAACATTTTGTAGATAAAGGTCTAAATTTAAAAAATACTTAGTTCCCAAAAAAATTTTTTTTCAAATAACTTGAGTTTTTATAGCGGGCGCTCTTATGGATATTTACATTGGGTGCAGTAGGTACAGAAGATTTTTAGGATCTCGCGGATTCTTTTATATTAAAAGCCCTTAATTCTCTCATTGTATTTTCACAAATTTATGACATTGAATCTAATCGTTTCCAGGTGTAGGTACAGTGACTCAATTTAGAACAGCGGATACAACCGGGGATCTCGTTTTTGATTGGTAGTTCGTTCTGGTCGCCATATTGGGGCTAAAATAATATAGGTACTTTAGTATTAGTGTACACTTTTTGTGTTCTTGCGAAATTCTGTGAGTAAAGGTACTGCTTAAGGTAAAATGTATATTGTGGACATATGACATATTCAAATACAGTTACTGTAGATATGTACTTACACATTTACCGCGTAGTGAAGGCCATAAAAGTAAGATTTTACAAAATAACTTGGACAGATTATCTTTAAGTATTTAAGTAACAAAGAATTCAGTGAGACTTTCCTACTTAGTTACATTACCAGATACATCTTATGAAATATAATATTTTTAACTGCAGAATGGTAAAGAAAATCCTTAAAATACGAATAATTATGTTTCGTGAATAGCAGATAGATAAGAAAGGTCATTATTATTAACGGTCCTCGAGATCGTTTATAATTTTGTATTGCTGTCTGTCTGTCCGTCTGTCTATGCGTCTGTCTGGCCGTCTGTATGTCCGTCTGTCTGTCCGTGTGCACGATAACATTGTGTAGAAACGTCCGATTGAAAATTGACACATTTGTTCTTTAGGATGTAAGAAAAGTCGCTATTGTTTTGTGGCTACGTGGACTAACGGGTCAAAAAGTTACAGCCCAAAAACTGGCCAAACCTCCAAAAAAGGGTTTCTTTTATAATTCTTGTTACAAACAACATAATAAATGTCCGATTTTCTGTGTTAGTAAATATTCCTTAAACCTCAGGTAACTATGCAGATGAATTAAAAAAAATTGCCCATGCGTAAACCAACTTTTGTATTTGCGCAATCCCAATTTGTTATCTGTTAAGATATTTAAATGAAATTTTGTACGTAGGCACCTCAAATAAAAGTAAAATTCGAGTGCGCGCCGTCGTAACGAGTGGTCGATCGCGATTATAAGTGTCAATTAAGAATAGAACTAATTTGTTAATATAAACCAAATCGTGAGGGTGAGTACCACCCTTACTTGCCGGCGCAATGCCAACTGCAATCTGTGGTGTTTGTCGGGTGGATCTTAATCGTACAGATAAAGTTATTCTTTGTGCTAGTTGGTGCCAAACTTACTTTCACACGAAGTGCGTTAAAGTCAGTGACGATGAAGTTAAATTTATTAACTCAAAAAAGAACTTTAATTGGTTCTGTGACCCCTGCGCTATCCACGAATCACACAGCCTCAGGAATATCTTGACTAACATCAACAAAGTGACGATGAACTGGGATAGAGTTATGGAAAGTCAGCACGAGAAACTGATGAACCACGAGAAGCTATTAAAGGATACTTTAGACCAGGTAAATACCCAAAATGTCAGCATCAGCAAGGATCTAGCGCAAGTTCTCCAAACTCAATCTGAAGTGAAGCTTACTTATGCGGACAAGTTGAAACAGAAAACCTATGACCCAGTTATCATTGTTAAGCCCAAGGACGCGAACCAACCCTCCAAGCAAACCTTCACCACCCTCAAAGAAAATATCGGATCCAATTACCCGAGAAGTTACCGGAATGAAAACTCTACGTAGAGGAACCATTGTTGTTGAATGTAAAAATAAAGAAGCTGCAGCCAAACTTAAGGAGGAAGCCGAAACGAAACTGGGATCCGACTACATTCTTTCCTTACCAAAACAGAAGATGCCGAAGATTAAAATCGTAGGCCTCAATGACAAGATCGGGAGTACCCAAATGAAGGAAATGATTCTCGCGCAGAATCAATTCCTCGACGAAGCCGCGTACATAAACGTCGTACACATAACGGAAGATAAAACAAATCCTAACAGGTATTTGGCTTACGCTGAGGTTGACGGTAATAGTTACCGGAAAATTCTAAGTGAACAAAAGCTTAACATAGGATGGGACCGTTGCAGAATTTATGATGCTGTGACAACTAGAAGATGCTACAAATGCAATGGGTTCGGACATAAGGCAACTGACTGTAGCAAAACTACTACCTGCCCCAAATGTGCGGGAGCCCATGACCTAGCGAGCTGTAAAGCTTCGGACGCGGAAATCAAATGCAGTAACTGTGCCAACGCCGTTGAGAAACTAAAAATGAAACTGGATGTACAGCACCCGGCCTACAAAAAACGACTCGATCAAGAAAGAAGCAGAATTGATTTTTTAGGCCATCCCCAACACTAATCAAGCAAGGAAATAGGTACGGATCAACGCTCTCAATCTATTACCAGAACGTAAGTGGAATGCGAACGAAAGCGCAATCTTTCAAAAATAAATTGGCAATTACAAATTACGACATTATTCTACTGACTGAGACCTGGTTAACGGAAAATTTTCATGACGCTGAGTATTTAAACAATCAATATGCGGTCTTTCGCAATGACCGTAATTACGAAGAAATGAAGTGCACCATGGGAGGCGGAGTTTTAATCGCAGTCAAGACCGATTTGAATGCTGAAAAATTGGAATTTCAAAGTGATCTAAATGAAATATGGGTCAAACTTAAAATTAATAATACTTCATACATTATTGGTGTTGTCTACTTTCAACCGAAATCTGGTATTGATAAGTACGTGAGTTTTACCAAAAGTTTAGAAACAATTGAAAACATGTTGCATTCATCGGAAGTGTTAATAGCAGGCGATTTTAACCTACCACAAATTGTTGACGCCACGTATAATTTCGAAAACGCGAGTGCTAAATGCAAAGTAATTAAAAATATAGCTTCGATGTACAACTTAAAACTCATTAATACGGTTAAACTTAAAAACTGCAATAATAGAACCCTTGACCTAATTTTAACTAACTTAAACGCGGAAATTAAATCTGCTGTCGACTCACTGGATAAAATTAATCCACTTCATCCTGCACTAGAAATAGTCTACAAAGTCCATAGACCAGCTAAGCGAATTACTAAATTAACCAACTTCAATTTCAAAAAAGCAGATTTTCTTAAAATGTACGTCCTTTTTCGCGATATTAATTGGAAGGAGTCTCTTATCCTGAAGAATTTCAAATCGGTAGATGATGCAGTAACTAGCTTTAATCAAACGGTAATGAACATTTTCGATGAATGTGTCCCAAAGTTACAATTAGGAGTGCCAATAAGTATCCTAGCTGGTTTAATATAGACATTATTAAGAAAATCAAACAGAAAAATAAGTTTCGGTTACAGGGCCCATCGGAAGACTTCATTGAAGCCAGAAAAGAACTCAAAAGAATGATCCACATTGCTCATAAGAGGTACATTAATCAAATTGAAATGGATCTGCGGAAGAATTCCAATAAATTCTGGAACTACATCAAGTCGTTGAGGAAGAATAGTCAACTACCTGGAGTTTTTGAGTACAAAGACACCTCGTTAACGGACGCCAGAAGCATTGCGGACGCCTTTGCATCCTTCTTCGAGTCAGTCTACACTATGGAGAGGAACGATGACCCGGAAGATGACGTGGAATCGGACCTGGTGCTATCCAAATTGCACTTGACTCAGTTACATGAATCCGAGATACTGGAAGCAATTAAAAAATTGAAACCGAGGTCGGCTATAGGCGAAGATGGAATCCCACCCTATATCGTGAAAGGATATGCATCTTTATTGGTAACCCCCTTACTACATCTATTTAATTTAGCTTTGCAAACATGTACATTCCCTGAAGCTTGGAAATGCACCAGAATAACACCAATTCACAAAAGTGGAAGCCGAAATTAGTTGAGAATTATCGCCCAATTGCAATTATACCAGCAATAGCGAAAATTTTCGAAAGAGTGATCTATACTAGACTTTATTCCCATCTCAGCAGTATAATTGCAGATCAGCAGCACGGTTTCACGCGGAACAGATCAACGATTACAAATTTAATGCAGTTTACGCATTTCTCAGCAGGAGCCTTGGATGAGAGAGCCCAGGTGGACTGTGTTTATACAGATTTTGCGAAGGCATTTGATACAGTATCCCATCAAGTCTTGCTCCGTAAACTTGTTTTAAATTGCGTAAGTAATCCGACCGTCAAATTCTTAAAATCATATTTATCTCTCCGTAAAACAAGAGTGAAATTCAATGGTGTGAATTCAGCCGAATTTTATCCCTCATCACCATCAGGCGTTCCCCAGGGAACACTTCTTGGTCCTTTTCTGTTTCTCTTATACATAAATGATTTACCGCGAGTGATAAAAAACTCGAAAGCACTACTATTTGCGGACGATCTAAAACTTTTTAATAAAGTCCAATCCCCAAGTGACTGTTTAAATATTCAAGAGGACATTAACTCAGTAATTAAGTGGTGTATCAAAAATAAACTAAAACTAAATATCAATAAGTGTAAAGTCCTTACTTTTACTAGATCGAAAAATCCCTTACTTTTTGACTATAAGATGAATGGAAAGGTCTTACTACGAGTCACCTCCGTTAAGGACCTGGGCGTGTTTTTCAATACCAACCTTAACTTTAACTTACACATTGAATACCTAACAAATGAGTGTTACAAACTTCTTGGTTTCGTTATCAGGCATACACTCAATTTCACGAATATACAGACAATGCTAACCTTATATAATGCGTTTATTAGATCCAAGCTTGAGTATGCTGCTAGTATCTGGTCTCCTCAAACTCTCAAATACTCAGACATGATCGAAAAAGTGCAGAAAAAGTTCATCCGAGTAATGTTTTTTAGGTCAACCCAAAATTATCCACATTTGATCTCTTACGGTACCCAGCTTAATTACTTAAATAGTACTTTCGGCTTAGATATAACGAGGTTAGAAACCCGACGGTACATTGCTTCCACAATTTTTGTCTTCAAAATTTTACACAACTTGTTATACTCTTCCGAATTACTTCAAGAAATTAAGCTTAAGGTACCATTTGTTAAGCTAAGGCAAAATAATACTATTTTTGTAGTTAACAACACAACTTCCCCACTTATTAAGATCTTGATCGCTTTAAATAAGTTATCCTCAGTTAATGATATCGACTTTTTTCACGATCCCCGAAATTCAATAATAAATAAAATTAGATCCTAGTCCTAATATTTGTTCAGAGCCCCAGTGCCATGTAATTGGAATTTTTATTCTGTATGGTTTCTGGTTAAATAAATAAATAAAACTGATGTCGGTAAAAAAAATTATTTTGCGCATGTGCAATCCGGTTTTTTAACATCGCTAGTTATGAACCGAATTGCATGAAATTTTGTATGTAAGCACCTCGAATAAAAGTAAAACAAATGCCGATTCAAAAATTTGTTTTACAAGCTATGCTGATCTGGTGGGCCAGAATCAATCCCTTGGTGTGTTGTAAAAATGATGTATGTGCGAAGACCTCGAGGATCGTTCGGTATTCAGTTATATCGGATTTTTTGTCATGCCTTCGTGATGCCCTTTATATGCTTTACACAATTTTTGGACCTCGAGAGACCAAACGACACTAGACGAGACGAGACTGAACCAGGGCGAGAGGAGACCTTCGAAAGTCTCGTCTCGTCTCGTCTTGGGGGCACACTAACTACGGATCCTAAAGTCGTAGTAGTGATATCCCTAATACGTGGTTTATGATACTTGATCCTTGAAAGCCCGTTCTCTGTTCACTTCTCCAGATTTTTCACTCCTGATTGCCCACTCTCCATTCTTCAGACCTCCACCCTTGATTTCTGATTCCTAGCCACCCGATTTTTATTCACAATGCTTCCTCGAGTCCTTATTTACTGATTCATGTCACATCATTTTGGTTTTTGATTCCTGCTCCATCTCCGACAATCAATATTCTGGCTCTATTTCCGATTCAAGATTATTTCATTCTTGACTGGCAACTGTAGGTTCCTAATTTTTCAGTGCTGATTCAGTAAACCGATTCTTGATCATTTAATTTTCATTCCTGATGTTTGAACTCTGATTGCTTTCGGTAACTTTCTGGCCATTGGATCCATATTCGCAGTGGTCTATTTGGGATTTCCGATGCGTGATTGTTGATTCTGGATTGATCCCTCTTTCTCTTACTTAGAATTATTGGTTTCAATACTTGGTTCCAGGCGATTGATATTCGATCTTTGGTTTCTGTACCTTTACGTGATCTTCTCCTTGAGCTTGGTACTGTAAGTACTGTGTCTTGGTCCTTGGTTTCTGGTTTCTGATCAACTCCAAATTGGCCAATTGGATGCGAATATCTTAAATTTTTACTCTTATCCCACATTTGACGTGTGACGTTGTGATGTTGTTCTTCAGAGTTGGGCATCAGGTGGCCTCTTCTAATAAATCACGACTCAATGTTTGACTAGCATCGTGTCATCGAAATTCCGGAACGTTAAAACTGGAATCTGGATTTTATATTGCAAGTCTGGAATCCGACTTCCGCTGGCTGGTTCCTGCTTCCCGATTTGTAAATACTCTTCCTCAAAAAACCGCAGAGTTTGGAAACGTGACGTTCCGCTCCCATTTTTTCTGGAATTTTCGGAATCCATCACCAGTCATCCAGTCCCAAAACTATTAACTACGAATTTTTGAATTTGCAGTTTGCTGATTATATGTTTTACAGGTCAGAATGCGGTTACTTCTGGTTCTGGTCGCTGTCTTCGATGTAACCCGAGCGGGATCTTGTAACATCCGTTTTGACACCATATCGATTTACTATGGCGAGAAAAGGGTGAATCAGTATGTATGCGTGAAGGTCACACCGGCTGATCTAACCCAGGATAGCTTTTTCCCGGTCTCCTATCCGGTCTTTACGGCTAATGATTCGCACCTGCTCTCCGTTTACAAGGAGATGTTCGCAAATATGGGAAAGCATTATTTGGAAATTAAAGTACTGGCAATGGTCAACAGTCACATTAGGAACATATCGGAGGATGCATTTGACAAATTCGTTGGCCTCTCCTACTTGGACCTACGCCACAATGACATAACCGAGATTGGTTTCCTGAAGACGATCATTTCGCGGTTACAGACTGTGGACTTGAGTTACAACAAGATAGAGCACGTTTCCGTCATCAACATGTCGCATCCGAGGAACTTGAACAAGTTGAATCTTGCATTTAATAAAATCATCACCGTTGACTTTGGTTTTGTGCCAAACGCGACCGCATTGAGTGCTCTGGATTTAAGTCACAACCTACTCGAGAATTTAAGTGAAGGTGCGTTTAGAAGTCTTCCTTACGTCGGAGAGGTATACTTAACGAACTGCACCAGAAGAAAGCTGGACTTCAGGATTTTTGAATCAACCACTCGTTTGCGCGTTCTCAACGTCAGTCATAACGATGTTTTGTTACCACAGCTGCCATCACTTCCCCAATTGAGTTCGCTGAATTTGTCGGCCACCAAAGTTGCAATTGACCAAGAGATGTTCATCGCGTCACGGCGCCTTCAGCATTTAGATCTCAGCAGTAATGGATTCAAAAACTTGGAGAAAAGCTTGTTCATTCACTTACAGGATTTGGAATCATTGCATTTGCATCACAACGACTTAGAGTCATTAGAGCAAGACATGTTCAAAGGGCTAAACAAAACGCTTCTGCTCAACTGCTCCTCCAATAGGATCAAGTCGTTACAGCCGAACGTTTTTGTCGAGTTGGTCTCTTTGCGTTCTTTAGATCTGGCCAGAAATGGCCTGGTAAAGATCGAAACTGGAGCGTTTCATTCGCTGCCCGAGTTGAGGTTTCTCGACCTAAGCGAAAACGCTATCGAAACCCTCCACGAGATGACATTCAAGGGACTCAACCTCCTTCTGGAACTGCACTTAAACGGAAATCGCGTCAAATCGCTCGTGTCCAAACCGTTCGCCGGTCTACAGAACCTAATTCAACTGAGCTTGTCGGGTAATCCCTATCACGTGGTTGAAACCAATACATTTGTCGGTCTGACCAGCTTGAAAACACTCAACCTATCACGTCTCGCGATTTCGAACGTTGAGCCCAACGCGTTTGCGCCATTCAAGCTTTTGAGCAGGCTCGACTTGAGTCACAACTCTATAGACACACTTCTGGAGGGTGCGCTCAGTATGGAGTACCAAGTCAGATCGGTCTGGCTGAACGACAACGGTATTCGGAATATAAGACCTGGAGCGTTTAATCGCATGGTGTTCGATAACAGCGGCTATTACCCCGTCAATTTCATCGAGCTCAGTAGAAACTCCCTGGCATCTCTCAAAAAGGGAACGTTCGCGGGCATCACATACGTCGACACAATCAACTTGGCAGACAACGCGATTGAATCCATCGAGCCTGGTACCTTTGAAGGCTGCGTCATGCGCACGACCTCCTACGGAAATCAAATCATTCTGGACCGTAACAAGATCAGCACCCTCGAAGAGGACGCATTCATGGGGGTGCAAAATTTGCAACGCCTCGAGCTGAGGGACAACGCTATTGTCGCCGTCGACGTGAACGCCTTCAATGGGCTGAACGCGCTACGCGTGCTTGGTTTGAGCGGAAACCTGCTCAAGGAGCTTCCTCTCGGGAGTGTAAGGCATTTCGCCAATTTGACCGAGCTGGAGCTCGCCGAAAATTTCCTTACGAGTTTCGACGTGGGGTTCTTCTCCAATCTCCAACAACTGCAGGTCCTCAATATCTCCTACAATAGCTTCGTCGCACTCGACGTTAACGTGCTGTACCCGATGAGATCGCTGTCGGTGCTCCAGCTTGACGGCAACTGTCTGAGCGAGCTTAATTACAGTGCGTTATTGCAGTACCATGATTACCTCAAGCGCATCAGCGTCAACGATAACAGGTGGACGTGCTCTAATTTGATCGATATGTTGAGGGCGTTTCGTGATCGCTACGTGAACTACCTCTTTAACACTACGAGTGCGTTTTTAGAAAGTAGTATAGAGGGTATCGGCTGCAGTAGGGATGGGAGCAATGTGGGAGAATGCCACAAGGCGGTTGACGTTAAACACCAGAAGACCAAAGCTGGGTCAAGAAACACTTCCAATGCGCCTAGAACAGGGATATTTATCTTATCGATAATGATTTTTGCACTAATTTTGAATTGAATATATTTTGATTCCAGATTTGAAGTAGTGCTCTGACTGAAACCTGGATCAAAGTGAAGTGTCATTGAAGGGCTTTATATTCTCACACAGTATAATGCACAGAATAAATTATTTAGACAAGATATATTCACTTTGTTTAAATAATTCCATTATCCGATGTAACAGCTAACATATCAAGAAAATGAGTATTAAAGATCCAACATATATCTGTGGGGTGCTACGCTCCCAAGCTGTGATCGCTTATTGGTTCTCCTTGCAGAGCATATATACTCTTTAAAGAGTTCTGCACCTAGACTTATTAGGAAATACCTTTTATTTGTTACTCAGTTGTAAACGTTGATTAACAAGACAAAACGCAAACGGGTAAACGTCATGTTTAAACGCTACTGACTTGTAAAACTGACAGCAGACCTGTAAAAATTTTACAAGTTAGTAATCTAGTAATTTCATTGGCCAGAATTAATGCGAAGTCTCTGTTACATGGATAACATGATATTTTAGACATTTCTTCAAGATTAATTTAAGAACTAATTATTTACGTTTACTAGTTTACAAATGAGTAACAAATAAAATATTGTACATTATACGCCCAGGTAATAGTTTTTACTGGCTCTAGGAGATGACAAGCTCGCCTAACGGCTCGCTAGTCAACTTCTCCTATCGCCAGTAAAAACTCACTTACCTGGCTAATAATGTAAAATACTATTTCTTGCGTTTTTCTAAAGGTGTCACCTCCTTAGGTCTTGGGCTTTCTAAAGCACGTTCAAGCAGGTCCGTGAAGTTGGAGTGTCGACTTGAAAGGAATTAAGTTCCAAGTATCTCATAATTTTGTGCTCATTTTGTTCTAATTTGTGCTGCTTGTTATAGATTTAATTAGTAACCATATCGTTGACTTTACAATTGTTTTATAATGTCAATTCAAGGTGTTTAATATCTTCAATTTAGTTTAATAAAGCCTAGATAAAGGTATTTATTACAACAATTTATTAAACTAAATCTCAAGTATGGAACGGTTATTAAAACCTCAAAAGTTGAACATTGACCCAGATTGTAGTTCTGCTGCTAGTGATTGGAATTGTTGGTATAAGACCTTCGTAAATTTTTTGATATCTATGCAACCTAACGAATCTGAGAAGCTAAGACTCTTAATTAACTTAATTAGCCCAGCTCAGCGTATGAACGAATAAGCGAAGCTGGTACATACAATGATGCTATAAGTTTACTTCGGAATTTGTATGTCAAGCCTGTTAATCAAGTGTATGCTCGTCACAACCTTAGTAATCGTAATCAAGAATCTGGAGAATCCATTGATCAATATCTTGAGGCTTTGAAATTTCTCGCTAAAGACTGTAGATAATTTTAAAGCTGTGACTGTAGAAGTAAGTAGAAACGATTATATCAGAGACTCATTTATTGGAGGTTTACAATCACATCATATTAGACAGAGATTATTAGAGAATGCTTCTCTTACTCTTGATGAAGCTTATGCACAAGCACGTTCCTTAGAATTAGCTCAACAACAATCTGATGCTTACATAACTCCAATGGTAAACAGAGTTTCCAAAACTCAATCTCAAACATGTTCTCACTCATCAGAAAATGTTTCCTCGTCAGAACCATCTGTAATTGCAGCAACATTATGTTTTTATTGTGCCACCATCCCAACATCTTTAGAGGTAGCCACCGTTCCCACTAAGCTTAATAATGTAACATTATTTGCTTTAATCGACACTGGAAGTACACTAAGCTTTACTAATCAAGGAGTTTTAAAGCTAAATGTTATTCCGTCTCACGGAAAAGTAGCTATGGCTTCTGCTACGTTAACGTCAAAAATATGTGCACAATGTACGATAGATCTGGAAATATCCGACCGGCACTACAAAAATATTAATCTCAATATTCTTCCAGCTCTATGTGTTGATATTATTCTAGGTCGTGATTTTTTAAAATGCCATTCCAGTGTACAAATAACTTTCAAAGGGAACACAGACCCTCTTATAATTTGTGGTTTGATTGCTGCTAAGGTTAAACCAGCATCACTCTTTTTTGATCTTTCTCCGGACTGTCGACCAATATCGATAAAATCTAGTCGACATTGTGATAGTGACAACAAGTTCATAGAAATGGAGGTTCAACGTCTCCTCAAAGAGGATATAATAGAGCCAAGTGTATAACCATGGAGAGCTCAAGTTCTCGTTATTAATAATAGTCCAGGCAATAAAGAACATATGAGGAGCTTGCAAAATTAATGGTAGTTCTGGAAATAGACTTACTTTATGTTTTTTGGGTTGCTGAATCCAAATTTTTAACTTCCCACCAAAAATTCCCTCCGCAACCCTCCCAAATCTTGAAAATAAGAAATAAATATGTTAAGAAATCGTTTTTTTTTTGTAGTTTCACGATTAAAATACCTAAAAATTTGAAATGTAATATAGTATGCAACCAAAAATGTGCTAAAACATGTTTACGTACTACGCACGTAGGGGGCGCTGGCGTGCGTTGAAGAATATTCATTGGCGATTCAGGCGCACTTCGCTTAACAACCCACGGCGTTCGTGTTCGCTCTCCCTCCACCCGCTTTACCTTTTGTTTTAACCTCATCGCTCCTTTAATCTTTCTTATTTTTCAGCATCTGGTCAACCCTTAACCTTCAACTTTTCCCCACCTATTTTCAGACACGTTCAGAATTAAGAACACATCCACATATTTAAAAAATATACTTTTATTAGTAAAAATAAATTATTTAAAAAAAGTTTAAATTACTCTTTACCATTTAACTGCAGCTGATGGCCCAGGTTTATCTATGTCACTGCTGAAAATTAGGTTCATGCGCGAAAAAGATTTAATTTGTTTCAAAGTCCCGTTTTTAAAGTAGATTGATCGATCAATCGTTGAAGGAAGACCAAAAAGGAAGTTTAGATACGACTAATCTGACAAATCTTCCATGTGTTCGGACTCTAGAAAAGCTGTACCGTGACCAAAAATCACAGAGGTAGAGTCACAGCCGCTGAAAGCGTGTAAAAATACTATATTTGTAGCCACTGTGTTTTCTTCAAGACCAAAGGGTGAGTAGATCTGTGAAATTTTGCCTTTGTCGGGCTTCATGAAGTAAATATTGGCGGATTGAGCAAGTACAGTTAAATCTATATCTTCGCCGACAATAATCACCGATGGATGAATTGATACCATTTCAATTGATGTATTAAGGATGAGACAGTCTACGTTATCGTCCTGAAGTGCGTAAGGCACCAAGACGCGAACACCCTACTCATTCGCCCTACGTCAAAATATCATATGATCTTTTTGTCGCAAATTTTGTCTACTTTCCGAATAGATATATTTTCTTTTTTTCAAAATTTGGGGGGTTGCGGGGGGAATTTTTGGTGGGAAGTTGAAAATTCGGATTCATAGACACAGAAAACATAAATCAAACCTATGTCCAGAACTACCATGAATTTTGCATCCTAAAATGATATATTTCCTGGACTATAATGAGAATCGTAAAAATAGGATGGTAATAGATTATTCGCGTACTGTTAATCGTTTCACTAGATTAGATGCTTACCCTCTTCCTCGAATAGAACATATCGTTAATAAGGTAGCCAAATATGAAGTATTTAGCACTATAGACCTTCGTAGTGCTTATCATTTAATTCCTATTGTTGTTACTGAAAGGCAGTATACAGCTTTTGAAGCATGTGGCCAATTGTTTCAATTCAAAAGGATTCCTTTTGGTGTTACTAACGGAGTAGCAGCTTTTCAGCGAGTAATAGACGAAATAATTCGTGTTGAAGGTTTGAAAAATAAATATGCGTATCTCGATGATGTAACTGTAAGCGGACTAAATCAGGAAGATCATGATAGGAATCTTAAAAATTTCTTAGATGCTGCTAAGTATAATCTCACTTTAAATCAAGAGAAAAGTTCCTTTTCATTGCTATCGATAAATTTGTTGGGATATTCTATTAGCAACAAAACTATAAAACCTGATCCGGAACGCCTAAAGCCTCTTAGAAGCTTACCATTACCTTCAGATGTCTCTTCTTTACGTAGAACTATTGGAATGTTCTCACATTATTCCAGACATGGGTATACCAAGATTTTCAGATATCCAACCATTGACTCAATGCTCAAAAATCGATTGAAAACCTAAAGGACATTGAAAATGGTACTGTTTCTTCTATTGATAGTGAATCCAAGTTTTCGGTAGAAACAGATGCTTCGGATATTGCATTAGCTGCAACTCTATCTCAATCAGGTCGTCCAGTGGCGTTCTTTTCCAGAACATTAAGTAATACTGAACGAAAACATCCAGCTATTGAAAAAGAGGCTCTAGCTATTTTTGAAGCTGTAAGAAAGTGGAGACACTATTTAATGGGTAGTCATTTTCTTCTTATTACTGATCAGAGATCAGTCTCGTTTATGTTTGATAATAAACTCTTTGGAAAAATAAAAAATGAAAAAATGATGAGATGGAGGCTAGAACTCTATTGTTATGATTATGATATTGTATATCGTCCAGGCAAAAAGGTAATGGACAGGTTGAACGCTATAATGGCATTATATGGAAATAGTATTCAGCTTTCTCTTAGAAGTAAAGGGTTTGGGAATTTTGTTTTACAAGTAGCTCTTCATTCTGTTCGTATGTACAGCCATTAATATTACTCCTCATGAACGAATGTTTTCGCATCCAAGAAGATCAAGTAATGGTTTATCTACTCCAACGTGGCTTATGACCTGGACCTATTTTGCTTAAGAGATATGTTAGACAATCACAGTTTGATCCAATGGTGGATGAAGTTACTCTGCTTGAGGGGAATTCAGAATATGCTCATGTTAGATTTCCTGATGGGAAAGAGGCAACTGTTTCTACTAGACATTTGGCCCCCACAGGAATTATACTTGAAGAAACTTCAATCTCAGAATCGGAACCCTCTTCAGATGATATTACTGAACCTACTGATCCTCAGATAACCGAAGAATTGAAGTTAGTTACTGATACAAATTTGCCTCGAAATTTGCATGAATTAGAAAATATGCAAGATCCTAATTTAAGAAGGAGAAGGAGATCGACGACCTCCATCCTATTTGAAGGACTATGTGAGCTGTTAGGGGGGAAGAATGTTATAGATTTAATTAGTAACCATATCATTGACTTTACAATTGTTTTTAATGTCGAT